TAACAAGCATGGTTGGAGATGCTTTTAGGACTTCATATTTAGCGATGCACATAGCCTTGGAAGTTGGAAGTGTATAGACAGGTGTGCATAGAAGTATATTACTACTACTATCTAAAAAAATTCTTGGTTTTATTTTTACGAAGTTTATGAAAAATACTGAGGGATCGAATTTGGATGAGGAGAGAAATGTGTTGGTATTCTAACCAAGGGTTGTATTTTACTCAAACACCCCTTTCTTTTGATAACAAATACTCCGTAATAATTAGGCACGGTTCCGTTGATACTCCACAACGGTGACACTAGTGGTGCCACTGCATATTTGTACCACCTCCAGTGTTCCAATGAAAAAATTGATGGTTCTTACCTCCCTAACTCACTCCTAAACTTCCCACCCTAGCCCCACCTCTACCCTCCCACCCCAGCCCCACCCTTAGCCCCCCTCCAATCAAGTTTCCGATGGAACACTAGAGGTGCTCCAAAAATGTAGTGGCACCGCTAGTGTCATTGTTGACGAGTGCCAACAAAACCTCACTCATAATAATTTCATAATATGGAAACTTTAAGCCAAACATCATAAGTGTTCTGATCGTAAAATTGATGACTCTTACTCTCATACCTAACCCAAACCAACTCAGTGCCCTATAATTTCATAATATTTGACTTTTTTGGGTGAAATAAATTTGGAAAAAGAAATTGAAAGGGTTGGTTTGGATCAGACCGGAATGGATGAGTTAAACCATCAATTTTACGAGCAGATCACTATTGGTACTCCGATTAGTGTTGTCATATTATGACTTAAAAGAAGGGGGCAACTCTTACTCAAATTGAGTTGATTTAAAATTTTAAACATTAAAGTACTCTTTTATGAGAGCACTGGAAATGGTCATGAAGCCCTAGGGCTTCAAACCGGGGCTTCAAACTCTCTCTCTGCCACGTCAGCTTTAACTTACACCAAAAATTTACTGGAAATGGTTTTGAAGCCCCGGGGCTTCAAACTGGGGCTTCAAACCTTCATTTTTTACATTTTTAAATATACATCTTCTAAATTTAAATTAATTTATTATTTTAATTAATCGCAATGACACTAGTGCATTAAAAAAAATTAAATTCATTATAAAAAAAACTTACATTCATAAAAAAACATTCAAAAAAAATTACATTCATTAAAAAAAATATTACAACCAAAAAAACAACAGTACAAAGAAATCACTAATTATTCGAACGACTAAAGATATGCTCGATCAAATCCGCCGTTAGTGCATTGTGAATCTCTCGGCTTCGAATTTCTTGGCGGTTGCGTCGTTTCTTTTCTTCGGTGATTTCTTCGTACATAGGCACCTCCTTGTCCGGGTTGTATTGACAAATCGCAGACCCGTTATCCTCTATGACCATATTATGAAGAATAATACATGCGTACATGATATTCCTCATTTTTGTCTGAGAATAATATTTCGACGGACGATCTAGAATGTGCCATTTAGCCTTCAAGACCCCAAAGGCTCGTTCAATATCTTTTCTCGCCGCCTCTTGAGCTTTTTTGTAGGTCTGGCGTTTAAGACCCATTGGTTCGGAGAGGGATTTGACAATCGTGGAATAATCTGGATATATTCCATCGGCCAAATAATATCCACGCTTGTAAAGCGTCCCTCTAAGCTCAAAAGAGGAGTCCGGTGCAGTCTCATTAACCCAATCGTCAAAAACAGGGAATTGATCGAGAACGTTGATGTCGTTGTTCGGGCCCGCGACACCGAAAAAAGCATGCCAAATCCACAAGTCATTCGAAGCAACAACTTCGAGCATGATGGTAGGCTTGGGATGATCTCCCCGGGAGAATTGACCGTGCCACGCAGTGGGACAATTTTTCCATTCCCAATGCGTGCAATCAATACTCCCAAGCATGCCGACAAAGCCGTGTTTAGCGGCATGCCTTGCCTGCAGCTGCTGGATGTCGCTCGCTGTAGGCTTGCGTAAATATCTTTTATGATAAATTTGAATAAAAGCTTTTGAAAATTTATAAACACATGACCTGATGCTCCGAGCCGACATCTTCAAGTATTTGTCGAACATATCGGATGTCATCCCGTACGCCAACTGACGGAGCGCGGCAGGGCACTTCTGGACGCTACTAAACCCGCGTCGGCCTCTCGCATCAAACCGTTGGGTGAACCAAGGAACCTCACATTCAACATCGGCGAGTATGCGTAAGATGAGAGGACGACTCATCCGAAAACGATTACTAAAATTCTCCGGTGTATAAACACACGAATTATTAAAGTAGTTGTTTAGAAGTGAGGCTTGGGCGGCCGCTCGATCCCGGTTTAGACGTTGGCGCCGGGTCCGTCGTCGGGAGGATTCAGCTTCTTCTTGGCCATCTTCCCACCATTGAATAGAATTCGTCGCGAAACAACGAAAAAAGAAAGCTCTTCTTTCATCGTCGGAAGATGAACCCATTTTTTAAATATATTTTATAGATATTTATAATAAATACTCCGTAATAAATATTTTAGAGAGAATATAAAGAGAGATTTGTGAGATAGATGTGTGAGAGAATGATGTATTTTAGGGGAATTTATAGGTTTTTTTTTATTAAATTTTGATTTTTTTTAATGGGGGGGGGGGACGGCTAAAATAGCAGTTGGAGCCGTAGGGGGGGGGGGTGACGAAGGGCCGAGCCAGCGTCAAACGAATGACGGGCAGGCGATGACGCCCGTCTATCGCCGCCGGGGGGCGGTGTTTGACGCCTCCGGGGCGTTAAACGCCCCCTCACGCCCCGAGCGTTACGAGTAGTACCAGTGCTCTAAAAGTGAGTGTAAACAAGAAAACTAAAATTAAGATTATGAAAAGGATGAAAATGCAATATGAGTAGAACAAAAGTACAAACAAGTGCGTATGAAGGAAACCTCGGGCTCCCATTTATAATAAATGTAAGGAAAAATTTATGCTAATACTCTAAAAATTCATCATTACTCCTAAATTTAACTAATTACGAAGTTCCTCCAAAAATGCTTTTATTTTCACATCATCACTCTATTTGCTACATCAATTACTAAATCATATGTCTACATGATTTATGGTGTTAATTGCTTCGATCGGTTTGATCATTTTTAGTGTGTAAAAATAATAAACGAGTCTAACAAATCACTAAAAACACGAACAAACTATTTTTTTATGTGGATGCTGAAATCGGGAGAAAATTTTGGACCTTTCTCGACGATACCTTACCAACGGGAAATTTCAATAATATCGGGAGTTTGTACATTGTACATAATATTGGCTTAGAATTATTTTCAATAAGAGGTAATAAAACTATATTATTTTATCAAATGAATACAAAAAATAGATAAAAATTAATAAAATTTGGAGTAAATTCTTTAAATGGTCCTTTATAACTGGGGGGTTTCCGTATATAGTCCTCAATTATTAAGTAAGTAGTCTTTTTTAATTGGGTGCGATTCCATCTATGATCCTCCCTCATCTCCGTCAAACTGTAGTTAAAGGGAAACCCTCTCCGCAGCAAAACAGAAGAAATCACAGAGAAAACTTCTGTTCACATATTAAAAACTGGAATTCATTTCTTTCTCATGGCCCAAACCCATCTTCATCTTCACGCCTCCTCCTTATTAATCCTCTCAATCCATGGCCGCACCTCTAATTAGCATCTTCATCGCCATAATCTCCTTTCCCCTGACCCGATTCCATCTCCTCCTCATCTTCCTCCACTCC